CGACGTCGTTGCTGGTAGGGTTCTTATTTGTTATCTTTGCATCTTTGCCCCCTTGTCTAGTCTAACCCCAACGAAAGGAAGGAAAAAGAAATCGCAGAAGAAAATGCCGACTCTCACGAAGCTTTACTCCATGGAAGAAGCTGCAACTCACAACAAGCAAGATGACTGCTGGGTCGTCATCGATGGCAAGGTCTGCTCTCTCTCGATTCCAATCCTTGTTAATCTCCAGGGATTCCGAAATCATCTGTTTCACTTTCGGTTACAGGTCTATGACGTAACCTCGTATATGGATGATCACCCTGGAGGAGATGATGTGCTTCTCGCTGCCACCGGTAGCTTCTTCTACTCGATCGATCTTTGCTTTTTTCTTACACGACTCATCTCTTGTCTCTAAATGTGATGATGTTCTTGAAGGCAAAGATGCAACCGATGATTTCGAAGACGCAGGGCACAGCAAATCCGCCAGGAAACTCTTGGACAAGTATTTTATCGGCGAGCTTGACGAAACTACTGTGCCGGAAATGCCAGAGCTTAAGATCTACAAGAAGGAGCAGCCAAAAGACTTTGCTCAGAGCTGTATCGACTTGACAAAGCAGTATTGGGTTGTTCCTGTCTCCATTATCACCGTCTCTATAGCGGTTAGTGTCTTGTTCTCTCGCAAGAAGTAGTCTCTGTCTTGCCTTAGAGATATATTGATTTGCTGGGGAATCAACTCCCCCATTATAGATTTTGAATGAAAGAAAAGATAGATTTTGATTTTGATTTTGATTTGGGATCATGTTTTCAACACACAAATTAGTGATATGATTAATGGATGCTTTGGTTTTCTGGTAATCAATCTTCTCATCTTTCCCTTTTGACCTTACTACTCTTCTCAGCGTTGCATCATATAGCCTTGTGAAACTCTTATAGCTAACAGAGGCAAAAGTTGCAGGATCTCTTTCCCTTCGTCGTGGGGAAACCATAAATATCTCCTTAATATGATAGACCCATGAGAATATCTAAATTATGATCAGTTTTCACCTTAAACCCAAATTCCTGAAAGTTTCGTAGCTCTAGAAAGTAGAAACCCACACAACATTACAGATTTTGTTTGCCCTGCAATGTACATGGATTTCCTCTCAAGCTCATGGCAATATAAGGAACTGCTGTATAGCTTATTGCTTCTGTCCACGCACTATGATGAGACCAGACAGCTACGGGAAGGGAATACCGTAGTTATGATCTTGTTGGTTCTGACTTCTGTGGGTGATAATGCTCTTTGATATTTTAGCCATCTCTGTCTCCTTTCTTTGGTCCTCTGCAACTGTTCAGCCTTAAATATGTAATCCCCTAAAGAAGCTTGAAAGAGAAAGTTGTACAGATTATTTCTTGTCAACACTAACCATTACAAGCAAAGTCAAATATCCGTACAAGGTAACTGGAAATGGTAAATCAATGTCAATACGGTTGTTTGTTTGTTTGTCTGGAGTTTGAGATTTTACCAGTATATTTCTTTTATAAGATATGGATAATATACGCCATGGGAATTTAAATGTTCCAATCAGAATTTGTCAGACTGAGAATAGTAGAAAGCCTTGTTATAAAATAAAAACAAGAAATATTTAGCGATTGGCTGCAACTGTAAGAAGACAGCCTTTGCTCAATGCATCAACGAAATAGTTTTACTTTTGGTGTTTGTATGAAAGACATCACGAGATTCACGAACATGATCATAATAAGAGGCGAAGAGTTTCCAGCTTCTTTTCATTTAGAAAGTCGCAAAAGGACATGAAGAGTTTGGATTTAGAAGAAGTTGCTAGTTGCTTCCGCCACCACCGAAGAGGTAATTCAGAGATGACCCGCCTCCAGGGGCTGCATGAACCTTGGTCGATGGCCGATCCTGCATTCAACCAAAAGGTAAATCTTTAGATGATTATTATATGTTCACAGAAAAAACTGATACTCTTAGCCAAAGAGCATTCAAAAACTTGTGCTGAAGTTGGTATGAAAATCCACCGATGTACCAAGCAAATTTAACGTATTTCAAATGTTTAGCCGCAATAGGAAACTTGAGAGTGATGCTTTTTTGCAAAAGATGTGCTAGTTGTGGGTGAGGAGGTTTTGCTTTGGCTAAGTGAACAAATCACTAACACGAAACAACATCAATCACAGCTAACGAACATCAAACTTAACATAGACAATACCGTAAGGAAGTTGCCAGCGTTCTGTCCATCTGCTCGAGTGTAGTTGTTTGTAGAGGATTTATTACCGGCAGGCATTTGGTTGGTAAGATTAACCTGCTGCGCAGCAACAGGTTTAGGCGAAGGAACAGAATTTACAGGCAGAGTTTCAGATGGAGGAGTTGGAGCATTGTTAATGGCTGCCTTTGGAGCCTCTCCGCTACCAAAAAGATACCCTAAAGAACTTTGTCCACCACCTGCACTAACTCCACGACCCATTCTATCAACTGTTCCTGGAAAAGACACTTTTCAAGGCTCCAAAGTATTCAGAACATATGAGAAATGCAATGGACCAGATCCGCAGAGAAAATCTGGGAGTCACTCAGGCTTTTACATAGCAAATTAGCAACCAAACTGTAAGTAGAAAATAAATTAAAACCACAAGTGGACTGGTTTCTCGTTCCTATATTACTAGAGAGAAGTGGTAGATGATGCATATACACATGACCTATAACATTAAATATTCCCACAAACATCAAAGGAAGGGTTTGGGATGTAAAGCTATAAATACATACAGATACAGAGCTTTAGAAACAGACTATGAAACACATTACAGAGACCTCAATCGAAATACAATCGGAACATCAAATTTTCCAAGAGAAACAACATTACGAATACCGAAATTCGCGACACCACAAATCATTTGTAACTCTTCACTCGCGATTACAGAGATCAACAACAAGCTCGAAGAAAGAGAAATGCCAAGGTATATATGAAGAATTTACCTCTAGGTCAGATCTAGTGATCGGAAATGGAGCAACGAGAGAAAGCAAAATATGCTTAATCAAAATTTTAAACGAGAAATGTGATGATATATTCTGTTTTTGTTCCAGAACGGTTCTAACCACAAAAGGCGTAACGGAGAGTGTTAATAGTAATTTCTGTTACGAAAAACCATAATCATTGAATCGTAATTTCTGTTTATTATAACGTCCATTCAAAATTTCTGGTAAAGCACCCAGTTATTAGCTGTTTTCTGAACCATATAGTTTTTTTTTTTTTTTCAAGGAGAGAAATATTATTACCAAATGAGCGAAAAATATCTGAAAAATGTGATTAGCGGAAAAGC